CTGACAGATTCAAATGAGTGGGCTTACATACAATTGGTTTTCACAAGTATACGTTTCCATGTCTTTTGCATGTTACTCGCCCAGTGGTCTCCCCCTCAGCAGGAGAAATATTTGCGGAAAAAGATTTGCTGGCTGAGAACCTGAATTAAGATCATCTCAAAACACGTCTCAATGTGAAGATGGCTCACCTCCATATAAACACATCCTAATTTTATCCAGTAATTTTTGACACAATAATTTATAGGATATTCAATATATAAGTTAAACATGCCACCATACTGCATATTATTAATATCACCAAAATATTTACAAATAAAGTAACATTGAATTTGTAAATATTGCATTGCCGGTAATGGTATAGGCGCCATATAACTAATGCATACATGTCAACCAAACGGTATTGTCGTTGACAATAGGAGTCTTTAATTAAAAAATATACCAACCAGACATGCAGTTACATGTAATATTATTTCACATTGTAACTTTATCACAAAGAAATTAAATTAATATATACTAGTGAATCGACTGGATAAATAAAACATTGTTCATGAATCATGATGACATGTTTGCATGATAACATTCGGTGCTCAGCTAATATTTCGCTGTAATATATTCGATCACAATAAATTTACGTACACACTTTGCATACAGATACAAGTTATAAATATTAGAAGTCAGATTCAGTCTCACCTTGCAGGTATTAAAGCATAAGCGCAGGTCTATCTTTCTAGACGTTCGTATATGTTTTCTATTCCAACTTCGCTTGCTGTCTTCCCGACCACAATGTTGATTCAACAGTTCCGCTTGAAACTTAACGTCTTAGCGCCAAAAAATTTCACTAAGTTTCGTACTAGAAGGCATGCACGAACAATGCACAGTGAGAAGTTTCCGAACTGTTCCCGATTTAACCATTTCCATAATATTGCGCAACAAAAACATGGCCACCGTGTCGCACCGTGTCTCACGTGACAAAATCTCGGCCTGTGATTGGCTTGACACGCTCCACCGTGTCAAGAAGGTTACTATATTTAGTAACAGCAGAACCGCGGACCGTGTCTCAAAATCGCAGTCGCATTTGACGAACATTTTCCGAACTTAAAATGATCAACTTCGAGTAGTTCTCGGTTATCGTCGTGGCAAATATTTAATATCCAGCAAGTGCGGAGTTTTCCCAGTGGGTTTTCCCAATGTTTTGAAACTTTTACAGCACAGGAATTACATCTTTTGAGATATTTACGTTTTTATTTCGCGATTTTGTTTGAAAAAAGTGTTTGAAGTTGTAATGTTTGGGACGTTTATTATTTATTATTTATACGTATAAATAACGATCGCTTCCGTCCTTATAGACCAATTTAGAGAATATGACGATCTCAAAAATCTGACCGTGTCTCAAGCCACGCTTGCTACCCCCTGGATACGCCCCTGTCTAAAACTGCTGTTTCAAGATGTTAAGGATAGACAGGGAGAAGTGCAGTTATGGACTTGGTAGGTATCTGATTGCATGAGCACGATTGACAAGCTTCAGTAACAGTGGCAGTGCAGTATATTGTGATCAACTCAATTAGTACATTGACTTATCAATGAAAGTGAGATAATTTATCAATTTATACATTAATGTATTCTATGCAATATGACCCTTTGTTGTATTGAAAATAAATGATAGAATGATCAGAACAGTAATTTGGTCCCATAACTGCTAATTAGACTGGTACATTTAAAATGAACACCTTGTGCTGAACCATGGTCATCAGAATGGTATAATTTAAAGGCATATGAACAATGTCAGGAAAAGCATCACAAATTTAAGGGGCCGAACTTGAGAGAGCCCAGCTAAATTTATTCCCTTCCTAAACATGTGAATCCCTTTATTTTCAGCATCACCTTGGCAGGGGCAACCCTGATACATGTAATGTCATTTAGTGTGATTGATGGCTTCTGGTACTAGGTGATCATTCTGGAACAATAGAGATAATACATAACTGAACTAATCTCACTATCACCAAACATTGCCCTTTAAAATATTGTTTTGAAGCTTCAAGAGCTTCCCAATTCCAAAATGATGCACATACAGGGATGGATTTGGATATGGGAGGGATCTAATTAGGTGCCGGTATTGATGTCAGGTGTGAGCATCAACCAAGGCATGGTGTGTAATCATACAGATAGCAGTGTTTTGGGGAAACAGCACCTAACAAGTAACCGGCCAAGTAACCGGCAGGTGCCAGGAATATAGCTGCTAGTAAGGGTTGCAGGATCCTAGACAGAGTCCCTTAGACTGTAAGAATCTCAGGGAGAACTGCAAAATATTATCAAGCATCTAGATTCAATTTGCATTTTCAAACAAATTAAGACACAACCTCCATCCCCCCCCCCCCTACACACACACTATATAATGGCTGAATGGCATATTGAGTGTTTATATGTGAACAGCCAAAACAGGATCATCCATGTTGACATATTTAAAACAGTTCAAATATAATAAATTTTGTAAAATTGTGATATTTATACTACGACAAATATACCTATACCTACAGTATTTATTATAAATATCAACACACAGTCACACACAGACTCACTCGTTTAAATCTACATCTATAAACACAGTACACAGATCCCAAACATTCCCTTGTGAAATTACTGAAATAGCTGACAAACCTTTAATTTCGACGGCTTTGAGGCTCAGTGAGTTTGAGTGAACCACCAAAGATCGTAAAATATTTCCATACAATGCGACATACAATGTTCCATTAATACTCCCCCAATCACAGGCGGCCCAGACGTGTATTAGTGTATAGTAAATATATCATTATAGAATATACTACACAGCAAAATTTGTAATGAATTTTATATTTTAAAATCATATTTACTTGCCTACTTTGATTGTATGTGATCGTCTTTTATTTCTGAGCGACTTTACATTCAATGCCTGCGACTGTCTTCATAGGTGATAGTATTGAAAGCTGCTTTCAATACTATCACCTATGAAGACAGTCGCAGGCATTGAATGTAAAGTCGCTCAGAAATAAAAGACATACAATCAAAGTAGGCAAGTAAATATGATTTTAAAATATAAAATTCATTACAAATTTTGCTGTGTAGTATATTCTATAATGATATATTTACTATACACTAATACACGTCTGGGCTGCCTGTGCCCCAATTATATAACAATTCGACCATAAAATTTATCACTGACTGTTCTGATTGCGGGCGAAGTGCATCAGTCAAAAGCGCATTATTTTGATCGCGGGCTAAACGCATCAGTCAGCATCCATTTCCCAACGTTACGTAGGCATGAAAACAATGGTTTTCGTGACGTGTCGTTGGGAAAACTCGGCCAAAAGACTCGGGACCGATGCGCCACTGATGCACTTTTCTCCCCAACATGACGTAGTGATGCACTGCCAGCCCCAACGTGACGTAGTGATGCATACAAAATCGTACAACTTGATAAGTGCGAAATTTGATATGCGTTTACGTTTTTCATAATATTTTGCAAATATAGCTTTGTTTACATTCATTCCTGTGAAAATATATTGTTTTAAAGGACTTTGGATCAAAGACAACCAATATTTAAATATATTTTAATAAAATGTTGACAATTCTCGTTCGTGTGAAAATTTTGACTGATGCATTCGCATCAGTTGCATCAGTCTGGATCCGCGCCTGAGAGGATATCAGTTCAAAATGTAAACAAAACGTTTGTTTTAATAATACATTACAGAATTTTCAGCCTCTTTAAGATTAATTTCACACAAAATTATCAAGAATCACTACACAATGTTATTGAATATACTAGTTAGATTTCAGTTAAAGCAAATAATTTTCACGGGAAGTTGATTAAATATTTTTACTTTCGGTTGTCATAGATTAATTGCACTTAGATAATGTAACTTGAAAAGCTATTCTTAGCTTCAAGGCCACTTGCGTTTGGCATTCCCAAAAACCGTAGTTTCAATAGCCCAAAAATGTTTTTCTACTAAATTGAAGATGAAACATTGCTCTTTCGCATGGATATGGCTTTAAAACGTCAAAGCGGAGGTCCAATGAACGATTTTCCACTCTAAATTTAGCCAGTTTTTGGTCTCAAAAAAATTCAGTAAATTAAGTGAAAAATCAAAAATCACTAAAATATTTACTTTAAACCCAAATTTTATAAACAAACAAGAAAATTGTATAAAAACACTTCCTCTTTGAAATGGTTAATAAATGTTTGAGATAAATCTTTATTTCAACTTTTAAGCGATCTGTAAATGACATGTCGTATGTGTCCTGTAAAACCAGTCTGAGAGACGTAAAAATAAAAAATAGCTGTTTGCCTAAAATAAAAATCTGATCGAACTTAAAGTTATATTTCTAGTAATAGTAGACCTACATTCTGAAAAACTGGAAGATTTTTAATTTTTTCATTTTGCATACCTCCAGTCGATATTTACAGACAGCGGCTCGTAAAGACTGGCAGCAAATCATGGTTTGGATACGGTCTTGGGACAGGTCCAACACGATTGTCTATGGGAGGATACTTCTCATAGAATTTACATTGGCAACCAATTTTATCAATGCATGAATTCTTTCTAAATTCTAAATACAAATTGCCAATTTCACAATGAGATTAAAAAATGAATTTAATCGTGCGAAGTATACCTGTGTCCAGGAAGTGTTTTCATTTTCTCTTTGTTATCCGTGCCATCCCATAGTTTCAATAGTGAATCTGTATTTTGAAAGAACTGTTCTTTAAATGGAACAAGTCATAGAATACACCTGTGTGATCAACACTAATATTAGCTTTTTCCTGAAGACACCGGTTTAAATTGGCATACCAACATTTTGAATAGGGGCATAGACGAACAGCATAATATGTAAGCATACAGATTGAAGAGGATTTTAATTATTCTACCCAATATGATATTATATGTTTACCTTTGCTTTCGGATATATTGGCAATCCCCTCAGGTCCAGGCTCGTCATCTATTATCCGAGTAAGGTGCTAAGCAACATACCATGCATTGTTCTTTGCACACAATTTCTCCTCTTCTTCAATCTTTGCAACAGTTAACTTATTTTTATCCACAGCAGACATTCCATCTAAAGGCTTATACCTTTCCCAGTTGAGAGTGCCGCTGTCAACCATAGCATCTCCAATGCATGCATTTGTTCTTTCAGCTTCGTTTTGCGCCGAGTCGCCTGGAGCACGGTGTAGCCTTATTTGCTTATCAGGTCGTTCCAAATGACACATTTCTGCAAAATAGAATTTTTTCTTCGATGTTTGAAACGCCAACACTAGGGCCGGCATCTGTGGACTCTGTCTTGTATCTGTACCTACTGGAAAGATTACTTTCGTCAATGTGATCAATAATGCTATCACGATAACTGCAGATTGCTTCGTATTTCTTTGCAAGATTGACTGGATCCAGCATTTTGGATTCAGCAATTAACTTTTCCAATTCTTTCAGAGATGTGATGACCTTGTTAGTTTTCATCTCTATGGCAGAGAATATCTCCTGTTCTGAATCAATAAGTGACATAAGTTCTTCGTCAAGTTCACATTTTTGGTGCAATAGTAGTAACCACTTCAACCAGGAGAGTTCATATTCTCTGAATGGGCTCTCTTTAGGTGCCCTACTTGCAGCTGCTATATCGTCCTCTGTAGTTGTGTCAACAAAATAATGAGACGCATCTCTTAGTTTAAGGCATAATATTCTAAGAGGTACTCATTTGAATGCATGCATTACTTCAGGCTCGAAATTATTAGGATACTGTTGATGTAGCCCATCAAATTTGATGCCCAAACTGAGCCACTGCTTCCTACCAACTTCTTGGGTCTCAACATAACAAAGCTCTGATCTTTATCTTTAACCAGGGTCTTTTTTTCTAAGAAGTCAGAAATACAGAAAATTAAAGTACAAATACCAGATTTTTTTGCATAGAACTTGTAAACCATATAATATTTATATGAGAAATGAAATTATTGGGATAAATAAAAACCAAGAAACTTAAAAATATTTTTATATCATCAACATTCTCTTCCTGCCAAGTCACCAGTCTAACTGCACTTGGAGTAACATGTGCATCTGGATTTCCAAAGTCATGTTGTGGTAGCTTCTTGGCTGCATTTAAATCTGTGACTTGGAGAATTCCTTGTGACTTGGTATTTCTGAATCCAACTAAAATAAAAAAGTAAAAATGAATTTCATTGTGAATGTGCAAAAACCCATTATATTCTACAGTCACAAATTTCATTATGTTCTCTACAAACAAATACAGGTGATTCCTCTAAGATATTGTGGTTTTAATGCAAAACAGTTCAAATACACAGAACCCTCAGGCAACGATTGATGACAGACATTTTTAATATTGTACTTGTTGAGAAATTTAAAATGTTACATTTCATACCAACTAATTGCAAGACTTGTCCTTTAATTGTGAGATATATTTATACTTAGTCTTGGGTATAATACAGAATTGACACCAAGTATCATTTAAAAACATACCATCTGTGCCTGGTCTAACATAAACTTTGTCATCGACATCTCCAGTGATTGGTTTGATCTGCCTTTTTCAGCATAGAACTTAAGTCATCCACCACTCATCACAGGGCATAAAATTTAATGAGTCGTACGAATTTCATGAGGGTTTACCATTTGACTAGGCACCACTCATAAAACATTTGTGGCGTCGTAAAATTTAACGAGTCGTACGAATTTCATGAGATTTTACCATTTGACCAGGTGCATAGGACTTAGTCATCCACCACTGGTACATTCATTGTGAGTTCACACAGGTCATAACATTTCACGAATTTAACAAGTTGTACAGATATTGTGGGTTAGTTTAACATCTTATTTTAAGACTTGTTGACCTATGCCACCTTTGTTGAAATAATTTTGGACGTATCGATTTTGGATTTTGTATTCTTAATTTTATATCATAATTGAATGATATGTAACTTAAATTATTAATAGTAATAATACACAAATAAAAAACACAACTTGTGAATCACGAGTTACAAATTTCATGAGTTGTTAAGTGCGACAGTATTGGACAACCAGCGAATATGACATGTATTATGGACATTTTAATTTTTACGACGTTATCTGGGGTGGGTGGGTGGGTGGGTGAAATAATAACGTTGGTTCAATGTTATTTGTGGCAACATGAATATGGATGTGGCCCTTATTTATACTGTGCTATTGATGATTTGGTAATGTTGGACCTGTACAACATATTCTCTATGACCATGTCATATTCTCTATGACTATGTCATCTGTGAAATTTTGCTCATTACTTTGGTTATCAATGGCTATGCTCTTCATTAAAATTATTAATGTATAATGGATTGATGGTTATATGTCCCTGAAAAATATTGGAAACTGTTACTAGTTCTGTTGAAACATTCTCTATCCTAAAAGAAATATTTTTCAACCCAGAATACAATACTGACATAAAACACAGTGGAAATTTGATGGAACACCAGATACTATATATCACATTATTTCACAATGATACTTATCCCAAGCCTTCTGG